TTCCCAGCCACGAAATCCTTCAGATTAGCTGGATATCAGCACTATGTTATACCGTATGAGCAGGGGAGACAAAGAGGGTTAATGACCCTAGTCAGGAACACCATACCCAGCAAGAAAATAGACCCAGTTTCATGTGGGGATGGAGTAGAGGTATTAGCAGTAACAGTGAATATGGCTAATATTGAGCTCCTCATATACAACGTCTACAAGCCCCCTAGACGTAAACTAGAAGCAGAGGCAGTGCTTGCCTTGGCCACGCAGGAAAATGTAATTATTGCTGGGGATTTTAATGCTCATCATCAAGAGTTAGGTGCGACTGGGCCAGCCAATGCAGATGGGCGCCATTTAGCTGCAGCTCTGCGAGAAGTACCTGAAATTACACTTCTCAACACTGGGGAACCCACTCACATTCTAGGAGGTTCCCTTGATCTTACATTAATCTCAACAGCACTCAAGCATCAGGCGAAGTGGGAAGTAGACCCGGTGATCACCAGTGACCACTATGCTACTGTCACAACACTAAACATAGAACGTCCTCCTACACCACCTGCACAACCTAGGTGGAATTTAAGAAAGGCCAATTGGAATATATACCAAGAAGAACTTGAAAAATGGTATGCAACATACACGCCACCTGAGGATTTGAACATACACGAGACCAATCTGCAGGAAGCCATTGCAGCTGCTGCAAACAAAGCTATTCCAATCATTATCACAGGAAACACAAAACGAAAGAACTATTGGTTCTATAGTAATGAAGTTAAAGAACAGAACCACAGAGTCAACATCTTCAGAAAACATCTAAAGAGAAACCCCACACCAGAAGGAAGAACTCTGCTAAGAGCGGTGATATCTGAAGCAAGACGAGTTTCTAGAGAAGTAAAGGAGGCAAGATGGTTTGAGTGGTGTCAAACTCTAAATGAACATAGTAGTCTTGGCAAGATATGGGGTCAGATTAAAACTATATCAGGTCGACCAGCCCGACCACAGGCATGTATTCAACCATTGCAGGAGGCTGAGAGACTTGCTCTCCAATTTGCAGAAAGAACAGCTTCATATCAGCTTCCTGCAATGGTCCGAAGGCAGCAAGAACAATTAAAACAAGAGAGGTTGACAGTCATTCATGAGAGCATAGCTATAAATGACGAATGTGACTGTCCCTTCACCAAACAAGAACTAATCAGAGCCAAAAAAGGTGGTAAGGACACTGCACCAGGTGCTGATAACATTACATACTCAATGGTCGCACATGCAGGTCCTGCTGGAGAACAAGGAATATTGGACGTCATCAATGCATCTTGGCAGCAAGGCAAACTACCGACCTCTTGGAAGAAAGCAGACATCATACCGATTCCTAAGCCGAAAGAACCTGGCAATTACAGACCCATTTCATTAACATCATGCATTAGTAAAACTGCAGAACGGATGGTCTTAAATAGGCTACTGTGGAAGACTGGAGACCTGCATAAACACATATTTGGCTTCACTAGAGGAGTAGGTACTGCCAACTGCATAGCAACATTACTAGGAACAGTTAACTCAGGTCCAGCTATAGTGATCTTCCTTGATCTAGAAAAAGCATTCGAACTTGCAAGCCCGCAAGCAATTTTACACACCTTAGTTAAAAAAGGTGTAAAGGGAAATAATGCTAGCATGGATTCAAGATTACCTAAGTCACAGGTAGATTACCTAAGTCACAGGTATGCCAGAGTGTCGGACTACCACTTGCATGAGAATGGGACTCCACAAGGAGGAGTCCTCAGTCCTAGTCTTTTTAACATCCTTATGGAAAACCTTGTTACCATGACATTTACAGAAGGGGTTAAATTGCTAAGCTATGCTGATGATATAGCGTTAGTCATTACAGGTCCCTCACTTCTAAATAAAGCACAAGGTGCATTAGATAAGTAACATCTGAACGCAGCGTTTTAGGGCTAAAAATATCTGCACAGAAGTCTAAGGCAATGAGACTAGGCGGCAACACTCCAGACAGGCACCTACCCATTCAAGACATTAACCTTCAGTGGGTTACACAATATCAATATCTCAGAGTGTGGATAGATTTTAAAATGGCATTCAACAAGCAAATTCAATATCTAAAGGAGAAAGCAAAATCACGACTGAATATAATGAGAGCAATCACAGGGCCCCGTCTAGGAGCGGGACACAAAGTGTTAAGAATGTTTTACATACACGCCGTTCGTTCCCTAGTTGATTATGCAGCGCCTGCCTTACTCACTCTTTCTCCTGGTCAGTGGGCAAACGTTGAGGTTATTCAAAACGATGCATTGCGAATCATAATAGGAGCTCCAAGATGGACTAAAATACTGAACCTAAGACTAGAAACCAAGCTAACGTCGATTGAAATAAGGGTAAAAGGGATTGCTGCCTGCATGCTGACAAGATATTGACTAGATCTAAAATCAGTTCACCTAAAGATATAATCACTGGAGCACTAACTTTGGACAGAAGGGCCTCCAATAGCAACAGGTGGACCCATTATGCGATGAACACCATCAATACATTCGATATAACAAACACAGTCACTGAGAAGGGTGTCGACGAAATACATGCAGACTTTGTTATGCAAGCCCCTTGGGAATCTCTGCCAGCAGACTTTAAGATTATGGTTCTTGAAAGGAAAAAAGAACCAGACAAATCCTCATCTGCTACGTAACATTGCACAGATGCATATAGAAGCAAACTTGGCATCCGACAGCTTCACTTACTTCACAGATGGATCAGTAGACCAGCAGGGACAAGAAACCGGAGCTGCAGTTAAAGCAGGAAACTCTGTAAATAGTTGGAGGCTCTCAAATGGGTGTTCGACTTTACAAACAGAGATGCTAGCCATTCAAAGGGCTTTGGAACATGCTCTTGCTGAACACCGACAACATGTTATCATACATACAGATTCGAGAACCGCCATTGAAACCTTGCAACAAGAACACATATGTGATAACATCCATCTGATCACAAATGTCATATCATTAATGCAAACACTCAAACGACAAGGCCGACGGGTACTTATCAACTGGGTGCCAAGTCATGTGGGAATAATAGGAAATGACATTGCAGACGAAGCTGCAAAACTTGCAACTAAGAGAAGAAATGTAGACATTTACATACCACAGAGTCTATCACAGATTAAGAAAGTAATTAGAAACAGAGCAATGCAAAAGATGTACAGTGACCACAACACAGCAGTTGCAACATCAGGATCTGCGGGTTGGTACAAGAATTCAACCAACTACGAACCACTTAGTTTGATGAAAGGGAGCAGTAGAACAACAGAAGTACACTTACATCGCATCAGGCTTGGATACCCATGTGCATGGGAAATAGGCTTACAGGTTCCGGAAGATGAGAGGAAATGTCAAGCACTGTGGAGAAATGCCCGACAGACCACTGGAACATTATCTAACACAGTGCACAGTTACAAACCCATTAAGATTTCAACTTATATTCAACAGAGCAGAAGAAGTTGTTAAACACATATGGCAAAATCTTACTGAAGCGACCATACGAGTCATAAATACTCATACTCCTCCCATGTAAAACAGAAACAAGCAACACTTAGTGGGCCAGCCAGAGGCTTAGGGCCCGCGCAGGAATATCCCTGCAAAAAAAAATCACATAATCTATCAAGGGTCTAACATGAGGTCATTGTGCCTACCAGAAGTGTATATGTCCAAGGCTGGCCACCTGTCTGGACCATTCAAATGTATAAACACGTAATTAGTCTATTAAAATTATATATAATGCTACAATTATAAATTAATTTGTTCATGGTCATTCGTTTATCAGTATTTTAATATGAGGTATATATACCCATGTATGTATACGTTGACGTACACATATATGATTATGTGTATGGAATGATTATGATTATGTGTAATCATATATGATTATATCTAATGGAATGCATTTAGTAAGTGATGTGGTGGAGGCTGACTCCATGCACAGGTTCAAGTGTAGATATGATAGAGCCCAATAGGCTCAGAAACCTGTACACCTGTTGATTGACGGTTGAGAGGTGGAACTAAAGAGCCAGAGCTCAACCCCAGCAAGCACAATTAGGCGAGTATATGAACGAATGCACATGTACATTTTCAAATGAATTAAGATACCTTGAGATACACAATGACTTAGTTTAAATAGTTTAAACACATTATGGTACTGATTTTGACATGCTGATGTCTGGAAGGGAGAGGGGGTGTTTGGGGTTATTGTCTGAGGTGGAGGACCAGAGGAGGGGGTCAGTGGAAGGATGGTGGCTGGAGGGATGCCATTGTTCTAATGGTTATGAAAACAATTATTGATGGCAGGAATTCAGTGGGTGTGTACTTCACCCGCACCATCACCATACTGTGCCCTGCTACAACCCCCCCCCCCACTCCACCCATGCTGTGTGGGGCGTATTACATATTATGGGATAACCGACTGTCTGTCCATTCCTGTCTGCTCGTTATGCTGCCCTTCCTTTTGAAAATTGTCTGCTTTATCGACTTCCTTCAAGACCACACGTTAGCCTATCACGCCCTCTTACCACTCTCAGGGAGCCTGCTCTTCTATACAATAGTTACCACTCAGTCCCCAAGGTGAAAGAGTGTCCGGGCATATGACTTGTTACGTGTACTTATTTGCGATTCGTTTGGGCTGTCATGTGTGGTGATTAGTGTTGGGTAAGGCTAGGCCAGGTCAGGTCAGACTAGGCCAGGTCAGACTAGGCTAGGTAAGGCTAGGCCAGGTCAGGTCTGGTCAGGTCTGGCTAGGCCAGGTCAGGCCAGGCCAGGCTAGGCAGGGTGAGAGAAGTAAAGCGGCAGGTACTTACGTTTCCGAGAAAGTAGCGGCGGTAGTATATTGTTGATTTAGATTCGACGACATCCTGAAGCTAGTAGGTGGCGGCCTCATCGCTCTCGAACTTCTTGTTGTTGTAGGGGATACGAGGCACACCCAATATCCCCCTTACATTGATCACATAGCACACTAATATTTTGACTATTTCGGACACCAGATTTGTCTGTTTCGTATATGTATAATTGTTCAATATTAAAACCACAATAGAATGCTCTTAACAGTTACAATGTTCAACTTAACAGCATATAGTTGGCAAGAACGCCGCCCGCCAGTGTAAATATCTCAGACCCTGTTGGAATATAACCAGTCTGTCAATCGGGTCAACCCAAGTGTTGCGTTCCCATGCGTTTCCAAAAGGGTCGCCCATGTTGGAATCGGTGAACGCCCTAGTAATATTGTTGAAAACATCTTAATAACTTATTAAACCAAAGGTCTTTTTATGTCAGAAGAACGGCAGAAACTAGATCTATATATGAAAACTCTTTCAGGACAAAATTTAAAGTAAAACTAAAGATATTTGTAGTTGTATAAAAGTTGCATTTTTCATCGGTCGTAAAGCCGGAAATCCGCAATATTCACCTCAGAACAATGCTTATTTCACGCAGAATCGTTAATAAACGTAAGATTTTTATACGTCTCAAGAAAGATAGAAACATAAATTTACTTTAATTTAGTTTTACATAATCTAGTTTTACTTTAAATTTTACAAATGTATACATCACATCAATATTCTTTGCTACTTCTGCATACTACTGATAGGCAAGCATTTCACCTGAATTTACCCGAAGGCGACCGTTTCCAGTGATCTCACCCGTGACAGGAGGCAGGCGGCTTGACTATTATAGTTAGAATAAAACAATATATAAATAAATTATCTTTATTGATATTCTCCATTGTAAAGATATATACTAAGTTTCGAGCACACATACAGCTCTTAATAAACAGCTTATAAATATACATTAAGCATTCAGTAAACACTATATGTATACTCTATAATTGACAGATTTCTTTAATTTGTACAAGTCCCACCTATAAAAATTGTTCCCTAAAACCTATTGAATATAAACCATTAATCTCTCCTGCTTTAATTATTGTACACACTATTATCTATATATATATATATATATATATATATATATATATATATATATATATATATATATATATATATATATATATATATATATATATATATATATATATATATATATATATATATATATATATATATATATATATTACAGCTAAAGTATAAGAAATTCTTGTGACGATTTATTACCTTTGACTAGTAATGACTAGTAATATGTGGACCCATTGTCTAGTTGCTCAACACGCATTACCTCATCAACATGATGTTGACGTCATAAACGTAATTTAGATGTCTAGATGCATAAACGAGAGGCAGGCAGGCAAGGGAGGAGGATGGAGTGATGGAGATAGGCAAGGAAGAATAATGGAGAGAGGGAGGATGGTGGAGAGAGAGAGAGGAGAGGCTACGGAGGATGGTAGAGGAAGGGAGGGAGGAAAGGAGGGAGGCAGGCAAGGAAGGATGGAGGAGAGAGGGAGGGAGATAAACGAAGGAGGGAGGCACGGGAAGGGAGAGGGAGGAGAAACAAAGCCGTCAAGAACCAACGCATCAGGCTACAGTTGGTTAAACAGGCGCGCAGAGCCCGAGAACTGCCGTTGGAACATGCAAAGTTTGTCAAGTAAGCAACACTATGCCACCCACACCATGATTTTTGTTTTCTATGGCAGTTGAATGCAACCTACAGCAAAAAGCGGACAGCAGCCCGCCTATATTAGTAAGAGATGGCAGCTGCGGGCGTTCAACAGCAGGAGTTGGGTACTACTACTGTCCCCCCCCCCCACCCCTCCGTCAGGAGTATGGGGGCACTGTGCCAGCAACACATTTGTTGATGGAGGAAATCAGCAATGTGTCACCTGAAGCAGAAGGACGGCACCTACTGTCACCTTCAACATGAGGATGGCACTTCTCTGTCTCCTTCAACAAGAGGGAGGCAGCTTTGTCACCTTCAACCAGAGGAAGGCAGCTTTGTCACCTTCAACTGGAGGATGGCAACTCTGTCACCTTCAACCAGAGGATGGCAGCTCTGTCACCTTCAACTGGAGGATGGCAACTCTTGTCACCTTCAACCAGAGGACGGCAGCTCTGTCACCTTCAACACGAGGAAATGCTCTGTCACCTTCAACCAGAGGATGGCAGCTCTGTCACCTTGTACAAGAGAAGGTAGCTTTGTCACCTTCAACTGGAGCAAGGCACCTCTGTCACTTTCAACAAGAGGGAGGCAGCTCTGTCACCTTCAACTGGAGCAAGGCAGCTCTGTCACCTTCAACTGGAGCAAGGCAGCTCTGTCACCTTCAACCAGAGGGAGGCAAGTCACCTTCAACTGGAGGAGCTCTGTCACCTTCAACCAGAGGATGGCAGCTGTCACCTTCAAGAAGAGAAAGGCAGCTCTGTCCCCTTCAAAAAGAGGAAGACAGCTGTCACCTTCAAGAAGAGGAAGACAGCTCTGTCACCTTCAAAAAGAGGAAGGCAGCTCTTTCACCTTCAACAAGAGGGAGGCAGCTCTGTCACCTTCAAGAAGAGGAAGGCAGCTCTGTCCCCTTCAAAAAGAAGAAGGCAGCTCTGTCACCTTCAACAAGAGGAAGGCAGCTGTCACCTTCAAGAAGAGGAAGACAGCTCTGTCACCTTCAAAATGAGGAAGGCAGCTATCACCTTCAACCAGTGGAAGGCAGCTCTGTCACCTTCAAAAAGAAGAAGGCAGCTCTGTCACCTTCAGGCACCTGTCACCTTCAACCAGAGGAAGGCAGCTGTCACCTTCATCAAGAGGGAGGCAGCTCTGTCACCTTCAACCAGAGGAAGGCAGCTCTGTCACCTTCAACCAGAGGAAGGCAGCTCTGTCACCTTCAACCAGAGGAAGGCAGCTCTGTCACCTTCATCAAGAGGGAGACAGCTATGTCACCTTCAACCAGAGGAAGGCAGCTCTGTCACCTTCAACCAGAGGAAGGCAGCTCTGTCACCTTCATCAAGAGGGAGACAGCTATGTCACCTTCAACCAGAGGAAGGCAGCTCTGTCACCTTCATCAAGAGGGAGACAGCTATGTCACCTTCAACCAGAGGAAGGCAGCTCTGTCACCTTCAACAAGAGGGAGGCAGCTGTCACCTTCTAAAAGAGGAAGGCAGCTCTGTCACCTTCAACACGAGGAAGGCAGTTTTCTGTCACCTTCAACCTTCAAGAGGAAGGCAGCTCTGTCACCTTCAACAAGAGGGAGACAGCTATGTCACCTTCAACCAGAGGAAGGCAGCTCTGTCACCTTCAACAAGAGGGAGGCAGCTATCACCTTCAAAAAGAGGAAGGCGGCTCTGTCACCTTCAACAAGAGGTAGGCAGCTGTGTCGCCTACAATCAGAGGAAGGCAGCTCTCTCACCTTCAACAACAGGAAGGCAGCTCTGTCACCTTCAACAATAGGAAGGCACCTGTCACCTTCATCAAGAGGGAGACAGCTATGTCACCTTCAACCAGAGGAAGGCAGCTCTCTCACCTTCAACAATAGGAAGGCACCTGTCACCTTCAACCAGAGGAAGGCAGCTGTCACCTTCATCAAGAGGGAGACAGCTATGTCACCTTCAACCAGAGGAAGGCAGCTCTCTCACCTTCAATAAGAGGGAGGCAGCTGTCACCTTCAACAACAGGAAGGCAGCTCTGTCACCTTCAACAATAGGAAGGCACCTGTCACCTTCATCAAGGAGACAGCTATGTCACCTTCAACCAGAGGAAGGCAGCTGTCACCTTCATCAAGAGGGAGACAGCTCTGTCACCTTCAACCAGAGGAAGGCAGCTCTTCAACAGGAGTATGGCATCTTCGTTCCGCATGCAGTAATGTCATGGTGGCATCACTCTGCTACTTGAGGTTGGCGGAAGGTGTTGGCACTGTGCCTCCTTCAGGTAGATTACGATGGCGACATCATTTTGCCACTACGGCGGCAGCATAGAGGCAATGTGCTGCCTACCGCAGAAGCAGGATGGCAGCGAGGGTCATGAAAGCAGTACTCGCTTCCCATTGGCTGGCTGAGGAGAGATAAACAAACGTCATCCTTTGTTTACTACGGCAACCAATCAGCGCCTCGTAATCTTTTGTTTACATTGTCAGCCAATCAGCACCGCCCGTCATCTTTTGTTTACTCCGGCAGCCAATCAGCGCTGCTTGTCTTTCTTGTATGACATCCTAACAAAGAAATCTCGAAAACATTAATGAATCAGTTTTGGAGCTACGGTTAACTGACTTAATTACTGGACAATGCAGGTGGCGCAGGCCGCGGGGGAGAGAAGTAGAGTGGTACTATAGAAGGGGGGGGGGGGGGGGGCAGAGAGGGAAGAATCAAGTTAATTACAACTGTGAGTGTACTCGCCTAGTTCTGCAAGATCCGTCTTCTGGAGTTGCCACAACGGACAGAAAATAGTGTACTAAAACGCCCGAGCCTAACCGAACCAATGGATCTACACATATTGGGGACTATGTGCCCACATACATGACGAGAGGAGGCCTAGCCGATACAATATTCCTATGTATGTATCATATTACTGTATGACATGCTAGTTTTTTTTAGGTATGGGGCAGACGTAGTCGCCAGCCTAGTGTCACCAGCCCAGTGAGGCTCTTTAGATATTACAGCTTAATTGTCCTTAATATTTATTACTTGATTAGATGACATTTTGATGATTATTTTATTAATTTATTATTAACGCTGAGTGAATAAATGTATATTTACAATGTGCCATACGAATACTCGTTATTGAGCCATGGTGTGATCACGTGGTAATATATATACCAATGGTTTACAAGCGTGTGACGCAGACAATATGCAATAATATGTTGGTGGGATTATCTTTAATATGTTCCTTCGTACTCGGTGATTTTCAAGTGGTTTTATAGGGGTAAACATTATTTTGTGTATGTAAATACAATACATATATATTCGGTTGGTGGTGAACATTAACAAGCCTCGCTGGCTAATGCATTTATTTTTTGCGAGGAGTTAAGAGGAGGTTAATCAGTGATCAGGAGGCATACGTGTTATGTAGACGTAATATTAACAATATATAAACATAAATCCCAATAGCGTGATATATCAAATGAACAAATCCTCAAGGGATTTGACTACCTGGACTGACCTGGTACGTGGAACTCGGCCTAGTACCCACCTGGGGAGTGGTAGTTACCGACGTAGGAGATCATGGGGACACGAACCCTGAGAATCTTGTGTGTGGTGAGTGTGTGGGCGCCTAATGTCAGCCTACACTCCGCTCTAAGGTTGCCGTGCGCTGACTTTATCTGTGACAGAGAGGAGCAGCGTCAGCCACAATGACGCTGGTATCAGCACAGTATAACAATAATAATAATAATAATAATAATAAAAGAATTTCACTTTCCTAGCCTAAATCTCACAAAAACTCAGGAAAACCAAAATTCTAACGGAAATTAAGTTCCTACAAACCTCATTCTGACACTTTTGGGAGTCAGTGAATGAAATGAAATGTGTTAAAGAAAGATCCAAAATTCGGTGAGTGGGAGAGGAACCATGAACGTGGGAGAGAAAGATGAAAGAGGAAACTTTGGTGGAAGGTTGAGATACGACTGAAATTTGGGAAGGAAAATTACAGTAAATGACTTATAGAAGCACTTTCTTATACTCAAGTAGCCTCATGGCCTGTTATGGTATCACTCTACTCTACACTGACCTCTCACTACTCTCATGTTCCTTGCCAGAGCAATGGGTTACTCACCTCTCCTGGGAGAGTGAAAGTGAGTCCTGGGGCGCCCCGAGGACCTGAGTAAGCGAGGATTATACTCACCTTCTCTCCTGGGATGGTGAAAGCGAGCCTTTGGGCGCCCTGAGGACCTGAGTAAGCGAGGGTTATACTCACCTTCTCTCCTGGAATGGCGAGGGTGAGTCGTGGGCCGCCCTGAAGACCTGAGTAAGCGAGGCTTATACTCACCTTCTCTCCTGGGATGGTGAGGGTGAGTCGTGGGCCGCCCTGAGGACCTGAGTAAGCAAGGGTTATACTCACCTTCTCTCCTGGGATGGCGAGGGTGAGTCGTGGGCCGCCCTGAAGACCTGAGTAAGCGAGGATTATACTCACCTTCTCTCCTGGGATGGCGAGGGTGAGTCGTGGGCCGCCCTGAAGACCTGAGTAAGCGAGGATTATACTCACCTTCTCTCCTGGGATGGTGAGGGTGAGTCTTGGGCCGCCCTGAGGACCTGAGTAAGCAAGGGTTATACTCACCTTCTCTCCTGGGATGGCGAGGGTGAGTCGTGGGCCGCCCTTGGGGCCTGGGTCAGTGCGGGTCAACATCTGTGGCGCCGCCTGTGGGAGAAGTAAACATCATCATTTAATCAGTCGAGTTAAATTTTGAGGACACCGTGGACGGGACCCGTCTCCCATTCCCTATCTCTATGACATTTGGGTTCGTTCTGTCCATTCCTCACTGTCTCTTTAGTCTGAATTCATTTACCCGAAGACCACCATCTCTGCCGGCCTCGACGAGGACGGACAGACGGCGGCTTGTCAAAGGTGCCACCATTATTCCTGCCTTACTCTCTTGAATATTACTCCCCCCCCCCTTTAATTCTCCCTCATCATTTCTCCTCATTTGATTCATAATGAATGTTCTCAGACTCGTCATTATTCTTCCCCGACTCAGCAATGAGCTCTGTCATATTTGCATTTTAGATTGTGCTCAAGTTTGCTGCCAATGTTATATTTATGTTATATGTATCTACCAGCTGGCCGCTTCCTTCTCCTACATTTATTTACCTGTGCTGTATCTGTACTGTAGCGGCCTCGTATTAACTTGTATATCGTAATGCATTTGTATTTATTGATATGTTGTACCTCCACTTATTTGCATTGGTACGTACGTTTGTGTGTTGTTGTGTGGCAGCAGCTGGAGGCTCAGTCCTGGTTCAGTATACTCTACAACCTGCAGCAGTATGACCAGTATAACGTCATAGTGACGTCACACACCATATATATAAACAACATTTGATCTCTTATTTTGTTTAGGTTCGGTGTGCTTGAAAGGTAGAGATGACGTAGGTGTGTGCACACTTTTCTAAGGTTTTAGACCCTATTCTGGGTGGAAAACCTTGTAGACCTCTATTAAACAGGTTTCCAATGACACCGTGTCATAATTGCTTAGTTGGAGCCTAACTCGCAGTATCCTGCATGCTGTGATCATGTCCCTTATGTTTTTTTTTCTGTAACATTGTGAAATGTCGCTATTTTGCTATCATATGCTCCCATAAGCAAAATCATTTAATCTGAAGAGCCCTCGTTGACTTGATGATAATCCTACGTTGACTTAACATTACTTAGGATGTTTTGTTTGATGGGAACCTGGTTTTTTTTTTGTCAGTCATCCGTTTCTATCTATACAAATTTTTCGTTTTCTGCAAGTGTAGAGATGGAGAAATTATGCACTTGAGACAGGCTCTTCACGACCAACACGAGAACACAGGTCTGAGGACGGTGACCTTGAAGCTCCGACACGCTCAGTGTAATTAGTACATAAAACCGCTGTAATCTCCTCCTTTGTATTTCTTATCAACAAAATAATAATATTATTACAGAGGCTTGGGGCTCCATGCGTGTAACTATTATCCTTGTGCAAAACGATAACTGTCCTATATAGCAACCTAATCCACTTTTGGGAATGGCAAAAGGGTGTTCTTTTACTCCATTGTTATTGGAGTCTTCTACATTTTCATGATAAATATATAAACGGCAGAATTTCAGTGTAAAATTTGGTGTACAACGCTTGTGGCATCGCCCTAACTTTGAAACTACTATATATATGCTGGTTAAATCTAGATGATATTAATCATCACTAAAATTAACAAGAAAATCCATATACTTCCGTGTTCAAGTGTAAACGTGAACTCAATTCGTACATATGAGAGTAATTAGTAATAACGTGCATGGCAGCCCTGACTGCCCACCCAAGTTACCAACACCATATTAATCACCAAATTTTTCTCGTTACTGCTCTAAAACGAAATAAATTACGAGAGGACTTCCTGTTTTGCTAAGTGGGCACCGTTCATGCCAGAAATACATCTGCAGACCACATATCTATGTGAAATAAATATTGGTGTAGATTAGGCGATAAAACTTCCCCTCCGCCGCCCCCTCGCCCCTGCAGGCATGCCAACTTTACTGATTTGGCGGGAATTAGCCCAACGTGATGTTAGTCAACTGAGCTCCTTAAATATGACCTCCCAAACACCACACGCTGATGAAGAGGTGGCTATATACCCATACCAGATTGCAAGCGAAGAATCTTGCGTCCCGAGTTTGGTTTCAGTACGTATATAACCTTATATCAACCGTCTTGTCAGGGAAGCCTAATTTCTTGCTAGACATCCTCTCACGGAACAATATGCCGTCTTGTTGCTTGGAGTGCTTCTTGTACTCTGTCTTTCTTGTGACGCCAGGCTTCGTAACTAATGGCCGGGCAAAGTAACTTGGCCCTTGCTGGGGGTCTGGCGATTAATTATATTGTATTTTAATCCTCAGCTGGGGACATGTACATAATATTCCTGAATTTTTTTTGGCAGACTAAAAGCTTTCCCTCCCGGAGCTGAAGTATTTTCCTTGTCTCCCCAGAACACCAGAACCAGGTCTATACAATTATTGCTGCTGGTCGTAGAGCGGCAAGCTGGGAAAGAAATGGCGCCCCCAGTAGTTATGCCCTGACCAGAGTTCCAATCACCGATTGGTATGTCTGACTTTCTCACACAGCAGCTGTTGGTATGTCTGACTTTCTCACACAGCAGCTGTTGGTATGTCTGACTTTCTCACACAGCATGACTTTCTCACACAGCAGCTGTTGGTATGTCTGACTTCCTCACACAGCAGCTGTTGGTATGTCTGACTTCCTCACACAGCAGCTGTTGGTATGTCTGACTTTCTCACACAGCAGCTGTTGGTATGTTTGACTTCCTCACACAGCAGCTGTTGGTATGTCTGACTTCCTCACACAGCAGCTGTTGGTATGTCTGACTTCCTCACACAGCAGTTGTTGGTATGCCTGACTTCCTCACACAGCAGCTGTTGGTATGTCTGACTTCCTCACACAGCAGCTGTTGGTATGTCTGACTTCCTCACACAGCAGTTGTTGGTATGTCTGACTTCCTCACACAGCAGCTGTTGGTATGTCTGACTTCCTCACACAGCAGTTGTTGGTATGCCTGACTTCCTCACACAGCAGCTGTTGGTATGTCTGACTTCCTCACACAGCAGCTGTTGGTATGTCTGACTTCCTCACACAGCAGCTGTTGGTATGTCTGACTTCCTCACACAGCAGCTGTTGGTATGTCTGACTTCCTCACACAGCAGCTGTTGGTATGTCTGACTTCCTCACACAGCAGTTGTTGGTATGTCTGACTTCCTCACACAGCAGCTGTTGGTAGTTGTTGGTATGCCTGACTTCCTCACACAGCAGCTGTTGGTATGTCTGACTTCCTCACACAGCAGCTGTTGGTATGTCTGACTTCCTCACACAGCAGCTGTTGGTATGTCTGACTTCCTCACACAGCAGCTGTTGGTATGTCTGACTTCCTCACACAGCAGCCTGACTTCCTCACACAGCAGCTGTTGGTATGTCTGACTTCCTCACACAGCAGCTGTTGGTATGTCTGACTTCCTCACACAGCAGTTGTTGGTATGTCTGACTTCGAGGGGGGGGGTAGAAATAGCCTAAGGTACTTTATCCCTTTGAGATGTATTTTCTTGTCTCAACAAACATTCTTGAACTTGAACTTATCTGACTTCATCACACAGCCGTTGTTGGTATGTCTGACTTCCTCTCATAGCCGCTGTTATGAAATTATAAGAATTATACGAATTATATGCATTATCTTGAGAAGATTTCGGGGCTTAGCGTCCCCGCGGCCCGGTCCTCGACCAGGCTGCTGCATTAAGTAGCATAATATCTAGACAATTTGATGCAATTATATAGTACTTCTACCAGTGCTTCAACTACCACTACTCTTTGTACAACCACAACTACCACAACCAGCCTTATGATAATCACTTATCACCACGTTTATCATTGAAGTTAAACTAATATTATTAGTTTATTATTATTATTATTATAGAATTAACGTGATGTATCAATGAGAATATCAGTAGGAATTTGTCTGGGTATATCCAGAGCACGGGTTCGAATCCTCCTCGTGGCTTGGGAGTATCTAGAGCAATGAGGAGGATTGAAGAGTACATGTGCCACAGTGAGGGGGGGTTATCTTGAGATGATTCTTCTTGAGGTTATCTTGAGATGATTTCGGGGCTTTAGTGTCCCCGCGGCCCGGTCCTCGACCAGGCCTCCACCCCCAGGAAGCAGCCCGTGACAGCTGACTAACACCCAGGTACCTATTTACTGCTAGGTAACAGGGGCATAGGGTGAAAGAAACTCTGGCCATTGTTTCTCACCGGTGCCCGGGATCGAACCCGGGACCACAGGATCACAGTCCAGCGTGCTGTCCGCTCGGCCGACCGGGGGAAGGAATTTCTAAGGTAGTAGCCTTAGAAATTAATTTAGTGATGGAGGGAGGGGTTGCTGGAGCAGTACTCAGGAGGGCTACCTACCTCCCTCCCTGCCCTCCAGGACAGTATACCTACCTCCCTGCCCTCCAGGACAGTATACCTACCTCCCTGCCCTCCAAGACAGTATACCTCCCTCCCTGCCCTCCAAGACAGTATATACCTACCTCCCTGCCCTCCAGGACAGTATATACCTACCTCCCTGCCGTCCAGGACAGTATACCTACCTCCCTGCCCTCCAAGACAGTATACCTCCCTCCCTGCCCTCCAGGACAGTATATACCTACCTCCCTGCCCTCCAGGACAGTATACCTACCTCCCTGCCCTCCAGGACAGTATATACCTCCCTCCCTGCCCTCCAGCACAGTATATACCTCCCTCCCTGCCCTCCAGGACAGTATATACCTCCCTCCCTACCCTCCAGGACACTATACCTCCCTCCCTGCCCTCCAGGACAGTATACCTACCTCCCTGCCCTCCAAGACAGTATACCTTCCTCCCTGCCCTCCAGGACAGTATACCTACCTCCCTGCCCTCCAAGACAGTATACCTACCTCCCTGCCCTCCAAGACAGTATACCTACCTCCCTGCCCTCCAGGACAGTATATACCTCCCTGCCCTCCAAGACAGTATACCTACCTCCCTGCCCTCCAAGACAGTATACCTACCTCCTTGCCCTCCAAGACAGTATATACCTCCCTGCCCTCCAAGACAGTATATACCTCCCTGCCCTCCAAGACAGTATATACCTCCCTGCCCTCCAAGACAGTATATACCTCCCTGCCCTCCAAGACAGTATATACCTCCCTGCCCTCCAGGACAGTATACCTACCTCCCTGCCCTCCAAGACAGTATATACCTCCCTGCCCTCCAAGACAGTATATACCTCCCTGCCCTCCAAGACAGTATATACCTCCCTGCCCTCCAGGACAGTATACCTACCTCCCTGCCCTCCAAGACAGTATACCTACCTCCCTGCCCTCCAAGACAGTATATACCTCCCTGCCCTCCAAGACAGTATACCTACCTCCCTGCCATCCAGGACAGTATACCTACCTCCCTGCCCTCCAGGACACTATACCTACCTCCCTGCCCTCCAAGACAGTATATACCTCCCTGCCCTCCAAGACAGTATACCTTCCTCCCTGCCCTCCAAGACAGTATACCTACCTCCCTGCCCTCCAAGACAGTATACCTACCTCCCTGCCCTCCAAGACAGTATACCTACCTCCCTGCCCTCCAAGACAGTATACCTACCTCCCTGCCCTCCAAGACAGTATACCTACCTCCCTGCCCTCCAGGACAGTATACCTACCTCCCTGCCCTCCAAGACAGTATACCTACCTCCCTGCCCTCCAAGACAGTATACCTTCCTCCCTGCCGTCCAAGACAGTATACCTACCTCCCTGCCCTCCAAGACAGTATACCTACCTCCCTGCCCTCCAAGACAGTATACCTACCTCCCTGCCCTCCAAGACAGTATACCTACCTCCCTGCCCTCCAAGACAGTATACCTCCCTCCCTGCCCTCCAAGACAGTATACCTACCTCCCTGCCCTCCAAGACAGTATACCTACCTCCCTGCCCTCCAAGACAGTATACCTACCTCCCTGCCCTCCAAGACAGTATACCTACCTCCCTGCCCTCCAAGACAGTATACCTTCCTCCCTGCCCTCCAAGACAGTATACCTACCTCCCTGCCCTCCAAGACAGTATACCTTCCTCCCTGCCGTCCAAGACAGTATACCTACCTCCCTGCCCTCCAAGACAGTATACCTACCTCCCTGCCCTCCAAGACAGTATACCTCCCTCCCTGCCCTCCAAGACAGTATACCTACCTCCCTGCCCTCCAAGACAGTATACCTACCTCCCTGCCCTCCAAGACAGTATACCTACCTCCCTGCCATCCAGGACAGTATACCTACCTCCCTGCCCTCCAAGACAGTATATACCTACCTCCCTGCCATCCAGGACAGTATATACCTCCCTGCCCTCCAAGACAGTATACCTACCTCCCTGCCCTCCAAGACAGTATACCTACCTCCCTGCCCTCCAAGACAGTATACCTACCTCCCTGCCCTCCAAGACAGTATACCTACCTCCCTGCCATCCAGGACAGTATACCTACCTCCCTGCCCTCCAAGACAGTATATACCTACCTCCCTGCCATCCAGGACAGTATATACCTCCCTGCCCTCCAGGACAGTATACCTACCTCCCTGCCCTCCAAGACAGTATACCTACCTCCCTGCCATCCAGGACAGTATACCTACCTCCCTGCCCTCCAAGACAGTATACCTACCTCCCTGCCATCCAGGACAGTATATACCTCCCTGCCCTCCAGGACAGTATACCTACCTCCCTGCCCTCCAAGACAGTATACCTACCTCCCTGCCATCCAGGACAGTATATACCTCCCTGCCGTCCAAGACAGTATACCTACCTCCCTGCCCTCCAAGACAGTATACCTACCTCCCTGCCCTCCAAGACAGTATACCTCCCTCCCTGCCCTCCAAGACAGTATACCTACCTCCCTGCCCTCCAAGACAGTATACCTACCTCCCTGCCCTCCAAGACAGTATACCTACCTCCCTGCCATCCAGGACAGTATACCTACCTCCCTGCCCTCCAAGACAGTATATACCTACCTCCCTGCCATCCAGGACAGTATATACCTCCCTGCCCTCCAAGACAGTATACCTACCTCCCTGCCCTCCAAGACAGTATACCTACCTCCCTGCCCTCCAAGACAGTATACCTACCTCCCTGCCCTCCAAGACAGTATACCTACCTCCCTGCCATCCAGGACAGTATACCTACCTCCCTGCCCTCCAAGACAGTATATACCTACCTCCCTGCCATCCAGGACAGTATATACCTCCCTGCCCTCCAGGACAGTATACCTACCTCCCTGCCCTCCAGGACAGTATATACCTCCCTGCCCTCCAGGACAGTATATACCTCCCTGCCCTCCAGGACAGTATACCTACCTCCCTGCCATCCAGGACAGTATATACCTCCCTGCCCTCCAAGACAGTATACCTACCTCCCTGCCCTCCAGGACAGTATACCTACCTCCCTGCCCTCCAAGACAGTATACCTACCTCCCTGCCCTCCAAGACAGTATATACCTCCCTGCCCTCCAGGACAGTATACCTACCTCCCTGCCATCCAGGACAGTATACCTACCTCCCTGCCATCCAGGACAGTATACCTACCTCCCTGCCCTCCAAGACAGTATATACCTCCCTGCCATCCAGGACAGTATACCTACCTCCCTGCCCTCCAAGACAGTATACCTACCTCCCTGCCCTCCAAGACAGTATACCTACCTCCCTGCCCTCCAAGACAGTATACCTACCTCCCTGCCCTCCAAGACAGTATACCTACCTCCCTGCCCTCCAAGACAGTATACCTACCTCCCTGCCCTCCAAGACAGTATACCTACCTCCCTGCCCTCCAGGACAGTATACCTACCTCCCTGCCCTCCAGGACAGTATACCTACCTCCCTGCCATCCAGGACAGTATATACCTACCTCCCTGCCCTCCAAGACAGTATGCCTACCTCCCTGCCCTCCAAGACAGTATACCTACCTCCCTGCCCTCCAAGACAGTATACCTACCTCCCTGCCCTCCAAGACAGTATACCTACCTCCCTGCCCTCCAGGACAGTATACCTACCTCCCTGCCCTCCAAGACAGTATACCTACCTCCCTGCCCTCCAAGACAGTATACCTACCTCCCTGCCCTCCAAGACAGTATACCTACCTCCCTGCCATCCAGGACAGTATATACCTACCTCCCTGCCCTCCAAGACAGTATACCTACCTCCCTGCCCTCCAAGACAGTATACCTACCTCCCTGCCCTCCAAGACAGTATACCTACCTCCCTGCCCTCCAAGACAGTATACCTACCTCCCTGCCCTCCAGGACAGTATACCTACCTCCCTGCCCTCCAAGACAGTATACCTACCTCCCTGCCCTCCAGGACAGTATACCTACCTCCCTGCCCTCCAAGACAGTATACCTACCTCCCTGCCCTCCAAGACAGTATACCTACCTCCCTGCCCTCCAAGACAGTATACCTACCTCCCTGCCCTCCAAGACAGTATACCTACCTCCCTGCCCTCCAAGACAGTATATACCTCCCTGCCCTCCAAGACAGTATATACCTCCCTGCCCTCCAAGACAGTATATACCTCCCTGCCCTCCAAGACAGTATACCTTCCTCCCTGCCCTCCAGGACAGTATACCTACCTCCCTGCCCTCCAAGACAGTATACTTTCCTCCCTGCCCTCCAAGACAGTATACCTACCTCCCTGCCCTCCAAGACAGTATACCTACCTCCCTGCCCTCCAGGAACCACTGTAGGGTCGGGGCGTGACCGTCGTATAGAGGTTGTTGGGGTTGACAACCAATTTTGATGAGTTCCGACGGCTCGTAGATCTCTCTGGCGCCCACCAGCACGGGCGGGGCCAGGGCCTCTCCTGTGGGCGTTGGACCAACATCAGACGGACGTCAGATTAGCACAACATATGCATGTCAATCTCCACTCAAGTGTTAATATAGGCATCAAATATTCGTCAAAATGTTGCCACACCTGATTGGCGTCGTGTGATTGTCAGCTTTGATTATGATGAGTGGCAAGTGGAGTTAGGATGAAGCGTCGAATGGATGTCGCATTAGAGTCAAATGAGTGTCTTTGTTGACGTCGAAGGAGCGTCAGATTAGTTAGGCATTAGTATCAGTTGATGGTCACTTATCGGATTGGTGATAATGGGCTCAAAAGAGGTGAAGGAGTGTCTAATGGGCGTGGAGGGAGTGGTTAGGACCTCAGCCTCAAATGAGCATCTGAAATGGAAACGTTGGTTGCTGAATGAGGGGGGAAATGTGTTGTAAAAAAGGGCCTCTTCCACCACCCCCTTTCCACCACCCCCTTCCACCACCCCCTTCCACCACCCCCTTCCACCCCGCTCCCCCTCACGGAGAATAAATCAGGCGAGAGAGAGAGAGAGGGAGGAGAGAGGAGGAAAAAACCAGTTTCTTCCCCTCCTTTCTCTATTTATATCTTCTCATCAATATATTCCTCTCAACCAAACATATCAAAATATATATATTTGTCATGGTGTTGAGAGCCATGTCTGGAGGACGTGGGTGGTGGGGGGAGGTATTTATAGTAGTGGGCAGTAGTTACTAGGGGGCAGGGGGTACCACAGGTTAATTAGGGCACGGAGGGTACCACAGGTTAATTAGGGGAAGGCGTACCACAGGTTAATTAGGAGAAGGGGTACCACAGGTTAATTAGGGGGAAGGGCAGGTACCACAGGTTAATTAGGGGAAGGCAGGTACCACAGGTTAATTAGGGGAAGGCAGGTACCACAGGTTAATTAGGGGAAGGCAGGTACCTCAGGTTAATTACGGGAAGGCAGGTACCTCAGGTTAATTACGGGAAGGCAGGTACCACACGTTAATTAGAGGAAGGCAGGTACCTCAGGTTAATTAGGGGAAGGCAGGTACCTCAGGCTAATTACGGGAAGGCAGGTACCACAGGTTAATTAGGGGAAGGCAGGTACCACACGTTAATTAGAGGAAGGCAGGTACCTCAGGTTAATTAGGGGGAAGGGCAGGTACCACAGGTTAATTAGGGGAAGGCAGGTACCACAGGTTAATTAGGGGAAGGCAGGTACCTCAGGTTAATTAGGGGAAGGCGTACCACAGGTTAATTAGGAGAAGGGGTACCACAGGTTAATTAGGGGGAAGGGCAGGTACCACAGGTTAATTAGGGGAAGGCAGGTACCACAGGTTAATTAGGGAAAGGCAGGTACCTCAGGTTAATTACGGGAAGGCAGGTACCACACGTTAATTAGAGGAAGGCAGGTACCACAGATTAATTAGAGGAAGGCAGGTACCACAGATTAATTAGAGGAAGGCAGGTACCCCATTTTAATTAGGGGAGGCTTACAGAACAACAGGATAAAAGAGGGGACGACAATAATGGGGACAAACAGACAGAACAAGAGTAAAGGGGAACACAGGAGAGAGGGTAAAAACAGGATAAATAAAAGTAGGAGAAGGAACAGGAAGAGGACACAGGAACAGGAGAAAAGTGAAACGAAAAAAGGAAAAGGAGAAAAGGAACAAATTAAATAGAGAAGAGAGAATATAAGTTAGAGGAGAGATAAGAGGCGAGGGGAGGCGAGGGGAGGGGAGGGGAGGTAAGGGGAAAGTATTTCAAATTTGGCCACAATACAATAAAAAACTTCTATACTAAATTGGCTCCACTACAGCGACGCGTAGGAGATATGGCCCAGTGAGGGGAGAGTGTGTGAGGGGAGTGTGTGTGAGGGGAGTGTGTGTGAGGGGAGTGTGTGTGAGGGGAGAGTGTGTGAGGGGAGTGTGAGGGGTGTGTGTGTGAGGGGAGTGTGTGTGAGGGGAGTGTGTGTGAGGGGAGAGTGAGGGGAGTGTGTGTGAGGGGAGTGTGTGTGAGGGGAGTGTGTGTGAGGGGAGAGTGTGAGGAGAGAGTGTGAGGGGAGTGTGTGTGAAGGGAGTGTGTGAGGAGAGAGTGTGAGGGGAGAGTGTGTGAGGGGAGTGTGTGAGGGGAGAGTGTGAGGGGAGAGTGTGTGAGGGGAGAGTGTGAGGGGGAGAGTGTGAGGGGAGAGTGTGTGAGGGGAGAGTGTGTGAGGGGGAGAGTGTGAGGGGAGAGTGAGAGGGGAGAGTGTGTGAGGGGAGAGTGTGTGAGGGGGAGAGTGTGAGGGGAGTGTGTGAGGGGAGAGTGTGTGAGGGGAGAGTGTGTGAGGACAGAGTGTGAGGGGAGTGTGTGAGGGGAGAGTGTGTGAAGGGAGAGTGTGAGGGGAGTGTGTGAGGAGTGTGTGAGGGGAGAGTGTGTGAGGACAGAGTGTAAGGGGAGTGTGTGAAGGGAGAGTGTGAGGGGAGAGTGTGAGGGGAGAGTGTGTGAGGACAGAGTGTGAGGGGAGTGTGTGAGGAGAGAGTGTGAGGGGAGAGTGTGAGGGGAGAGTGTGAGGGGAGTGTGTGAGGGGAGAGTGTGTGAGGACAGAGTGTGAGGGGAGTGTGTGAGGAGAGAGTGTGAGGGGAGAGTGTGAGGGGAGAGTGTGAGGGGAGTGTGTGAGTGGAGTGTGTGTGAGGGGAGAGTGTGTGAGGGAAGTGTAAGAGGGGAGTGTGTGAGGGGAGAGTGTGTGAGGGGTGAGTGTGTGAGGGGAGAGTGTGAGGGGAGTGTGTGAGTGGAGTGTGTGAGGGGAGAGTGTGTGAGGGAAGTGTAAGAGGGGAGTGTGTGAGGGGAGAGTGTGTGAGGGGAGAGTGTGTGAGGGAGAGTGTGTGAGAGGAGTGTGAGGGGAGAGTGTGAGGGGAGAGTGTGAGGGGAGAGTGTGTGAGGGGAGTGTGTGTGAGGGGAGTGTGTGTGAGGGGAGAGTGTGAGGGGAGAGTGTGTGAGGGGAGTGTGTGTGAGGGGAGAGTGTGAGGGGAGAGTGTGTGAGAGGAGAGTGTGAGGGGAGAGTGTGTGAGGGGAGTGTGTGTGAGGGGAGAGTGTGTGAGGAGAGTGTGTGTGAGGGGAGAGTGTGAGGGGAGAGTGTGTGAGGGGAGAGTGTGTGAGAGGAGAGAGTGAGGGGAGAGTGTGTGAGGGGAGAGTGTGTGAGGGGAGAGTGTGTGAGAGGAGAGTGTGAGAGGAGAGTGTGAGGGGAGAGTGTGAGGGGAGAGTGTGTGTGTGAGGAGAGTGTGAGGGAAAAGACAGATGGGGACAGAGCGGCAGCATGGAGAGAAAAGTGGCGGGTGAGGGGAGTAGAGGAGAAAGGATAAAGTAAGGGTGGAGAGAGAGGGGGGGAGGGGGTAAGGGGAGGAATGTTGACTAAGTTGTCCACATGTGATTGATGTGCCAATACTGATATAGACACACACACACACACATACACACACACACACACACACACACACACACACACACACACACACACACACACACACACACACACACACACACACACACACACACCTGAGGACATTGAAACACTGACAACAACTGACTCCTCGACCTTGCCCTTACCAGATACCCAAGTTGTGACTAATACCATCTTGGCTATTGGACCCACCGCAAGACATACCACCACCAACAACCTGCCGTA